CCGAAATAACTTGATAGCACTACTTTACACTCAATATCAAACTGGGTGCCGAGTCAATGTAGTAGACAAGCTCATCCATTACCTGAGGGTCGTGTTCTCCTTCGTCGGGCATCCCATCGTCGCGAACAGATGTGGTGATCATCAGTCGGAACTTGTCGTTGAGATTGACAGGATAAATTTGCGTATTCACGTCCAAAATCAACTCCATACTAAAGTTACGCATGATATTCTTCATCGACGAAAGAGATAAACTTACATTTACAGCTCTATAACTGTCCTTCGTACGAAGAACGAACTCGGATGGAACAGTTTCTAATGGAACTAACCTGAACGACTCCGAGTCGCAAAACAGTCGCGAGCAACGATCGAACTTCTTGCCGTCCGGATCGATGTTCTTAACCGTGAACATATCGTCGAATATCACGTCTGACATGACTGCTCAGGACTGGTACAAAATGAACGGAGAGTCATGCAGAAGCGGGTGCCGAGCTCAAAAGCGCAGCACGCCGGCCGACACCCACTGCACCGAACTCGACGGCAAGTGCGTTGGATGTCGCACGACACGCGCCGCACACAATTTGACGGCAAAAGTTGCGATGTTTGCAGGGTATGCTATTAAGGCTCTCGTGGCGAGTGACGCTAAGAGATGCTGTGGTAACTTTAAGGGAATGGCTTTATGACACCTATAGCTGTAATATTCTTTCCGATGGTTTATTTTGGTGCAGAAAAGTTCTTTCGTAAGCGTCTTACTATCAATCGGTTCCCTATCCAGCGTAGATGCTGCAGCAGGTGTCATCTGTGTGAGGGCAACATCCTGTTAATAATTTCTCTCTTCAGTAGTTCACGGAGAATCTCTTCTTGAACGTCTTTATTCCGCAGACGACGGACCAGAGTGTGGCCAGTGAAGAGGCGAAAAAGCGCATTTAGCTAAACACTGGGATTCCACACTTAGGCAGAGTTTTTTTCTGGAGTAAGAGGATAGATCAAGTTGTGTGCGGCGCGTGTCATGCGACATCCAACGCACTTGCCGTCGAGTTCGGTGCAGTGGGTGTCGGCCGGCGTGCTGCGCTTTTGAGCTCGGCACCCGCTTCTGCATGACTCTCCGTTCATTTTGTACCAGTCCTGAGCAGTCATGTCAGACGTGATATTCGACGATATGTTCACGGTTAAGAACATCGATCCGGACGGCAAGAAGTTCGATCGTTGCTCGCGACTGTTTTGCGACTCGGAGTCGTTCAGGTTAGTTCCATTAGAAACTGTTCCATCCGAGTTCGTTCTTCGTACGAAGGACAGTTATAGAGCTGTAAATGTAAGTTTATCTCTTTCGTCGATGAAGAATATCATGCGTAACTTTAGTATGGAGTTGATTTTGGACGTGAATACGCAAATTTATCCTGTCAATCTCAACGACAAGTTCCGACTGATGATCACCACATCTGTTCGCGACGATGGGATGCCCGACGAAGGAGAACACGACCCTCAGGTAATGGATGAGCTTGTCTACTACATTGACTCGGCACCCAGTTTGATATTGAGTGTAAAGTAGTGCTATCAAGTTATTTCGGCGTAAAGAGGATTTCTCTAAGCACTGCGTACTAACAATGACCCTGAATATGAAGCAGTCGTCGCTAGAAAGGCGTTTCGGAACCAACGCTTTCAAAGGTGAAGATCTGCACATATCAGGGAAGGCAGCGTGCACGTTTTAATCATTTCCCCAACAATATTGCGTCGTTTGGCAATGAAGAACGGTTTCTCAGAGTTGAAATGTGGTTTTCGGTACTCTCCAGATTTGGTGGCGAAAGAAGTCTTTGCTGTTATTTTTGTATAGAAGTTCTCTGATACTCTAGTGAATCATTGTCCATGAAGGAATCGGACGCGAGTCGTGTGATAATCTCGCTAGTTGTACATTTGTAACAATTCAGCTGTCTGTAGCTGTAGAACAAGTCACATAAGTAGTAATGTTCGTTCCAGGCGAATTATTCGCGGGTTGCACAGTTCGAATACGTTATGTTTGGACGAGTTTACCGGATAGAGGGCGACGATTCAGGGTCGGACGGAACCCGTATTGCTGCGTATGCGTCCTTCGGAGGCTTATTGATGAGACTGAAAGGAGAGGTATGGTTTGTTTCCCATTTGAGAACTTTTGAGTTGTTTTTCGAGCACTCGACAATCGTTGATAGCGTTCCAAAAATGGTTGCATTTCTGTGTAACGTTTAAATTTTTGGATACTTTTTAGCAAGCTAACATGTTTTGAAATTTGGGGAATATAGAGGCGACTCTTGTATCGAATCTGTGGTTTTTTTTGAGTCAAAAGCCTCCTAGAGGTTTATTGATCCGGAATTGAGTCTGCAGTTCGACATTTTTTTCTCTTTTGGTTTCGAAACGAACACTTGCTTACTGCTGTTGTGCATTTAGTGAGATTTACCTTGGATCAAGGCATTAATAGGTGTAATACTAATGTTGAATTTAGTGCTAGTCCTCTGAATTCCAAGTAGTCATTGTTAACTTTAAGGCATTCAACCTTCATGGCTTTGGATTGGACTCCAATATCTACTTGCTCATCAAGAAAGTAGAGTTCTGAATCAAAAATGTGCTTTCATAGCTTATCCTTTGCACCTTCCACCATCCGGTAATTTCTGTATAGAGATGTGTTTTTTGTTTTTTCTCAATTTTGTTATCTTCTCTTGGTCTGGCGTTGCATACCACTTGAATTTCGGAGTTTGTTCTTGTTGTTATCCATTGTTAGAATTATCGCTAAGCCATTGGACGTATAAATTCATTCCAGTTGTTTGATATGAACGAGTTTTTACGCTTATTTTAAACCACAGAACGTCTAGAGCTGACCCATTACGGCCTTCTTCTGAACAACCTGCTGCTGTGGTCCTGCTTCCGACGTAAATTCGACGTAAATTGTCGTTAGTCAGTTCGATATCGGCGTGTTTGAATTTTATAAATCGTTCGCGTCTTCATTAACCCATCCAGTAATTTCTTGTACGGCTAAGTCTCCATTTACAAGGCTGTCAGCTTTCTAATCGGATGACATGTGGGCAGCGTGGTGAGTTCTGTCTTTTCTGCTTATTTTACGGTGCTTAGCTATGCATAGCGATGCAAGATGGGAGTAAGGCTCCTCCTTTCCGGGGAGTAACGCGTTTACCACCACACCGTGCGGGTCCTTCGTTTCGTCTGTCTCTCAGCTAGTTCTATTGATCAGCGCCGTGAGCAATTACCCGTCAACGGGATTGGTCAAGAGAGTCCAAATGGGCAACGAACCTAGTTAAGTTGAGGCTGAAGTTAACCGGTGATTGCTGATGGCGGTCATCAATAGAACTAGCTGAGAGGCAGGCGAAACGAAGAACCCGCATGGTGTAGTGGCGATAGCGTTACTCCCCGGAAAGGACAATGGCGCGTTCGTTCCTCACCGCAGACACCTGCGGTTCGGACTTTTGCAAATATCTCAGCATTATATTAGTTATATTTCAAATGATACCCTCCCGTTGAAAATTATAGTAAGCTGTAAATAAAAAGGTTAAGAAGGAACTTGATTTCTATCTCGAGCCGGTAGGCAAGGATTTTGCTTCGTTATTGCATGTTTTCCATTGTGTAAGAAGTAGTCGTTGTGTTGGTTAGTCTTGTTTGATTTAGACATTCTGCAAAATACTTGATGTGAGTTTAACTTTGAAAATAACTTTACCTGTTTCAATGGTAGTTTTCCGTTTAATACCGTAGAAATTGGCCTGCTGAGAGGTCATTCCAGTAGTCTCATCGACATGAGAGAGTGGTTGCGTCAGCAGTTGTTTTAGAATTATTGGAACATAGTTATTACACTTTCCTCAACCATGTTGTAAAGATCAAGGTTACCTCACACTTACTTGGTACTTGGGTACTTGGACGGTCCGCCTTCATGAACTGCGAGTACAGCTGATTTACTTTGGTTACGAAAGCGTCCGCAGAATGTGTAAGTGGCGGCTCTAGGGGACGCCTGCATAATCGTGGTCCAATGTACAGTTCTTTTCCTCTAACTATCGTCTGTTCTTCTCATTATATGTCTACCTCATCCATGTTTTGCTATCAACGTGTTCGCCAGGGTCCCAGAGATGAGATGTGTTTCGTGAATCTTCCCTTCCGGCTAGATATTGGGTGTGCCGATTACATTTCATAGGTCATCGTTCAAGCGCTTTGTGACTGGTGCAGAGTATTCTTGACGTAGTTGAATTATCAGGCGACGTCTATGCGGCATAAGAGAGATCTAGGAGGACTGTTGAATCGGAAAGGGGAGCGCCGTTTTTGCGTCCTTTAGTCGAGTGGTGGGTTCTTCGAGAGACCCGAATGCGGCGCGAGCTGCTCTCCTCTCTCATTCCTTCTTTGTGTTGCTCTCCATATTCATTGATCGCCCAAGGTATTCGTGCGAGGTGGTCTCTGCAATCAGAGAACCATCCGCTTCGACCTGATCGCCTTCACGCCTTGGATATCTCATGAACTAGGTCTTCTTCCGATTTATGCGTAGTACGATCTCTTTTCTCGCTTCGTTGAGCTCATTGATCATTGTCTCTGCTTCATTGTTACTTCTTGAGAAGATGACGATGTTGTTGGCGAATCGAAGGTTGGATAGGATTTTTTCACCAATATGTATGCCTTTGTCATGCTAATCAAATGACGTCATTGTCCACTGTAGTGAGGCATTGAACCGCTTTGACGACATGGTGTCGCCTTGTCGAACCCCTTTTCCAGTGGGTATGGTGATTAGTTTATGGAAAGCTGCTCTGCTTCTATTAGTTTCTTCTTCCTCTATCGGTGTAGGTTTTTGTGAAAAACTCTTGTGCAACTTGCATTTATTACTAGTTGTGTTAAATGTGTTGCAGTAGGGCTAAGCTTTAGTTTCCTTATCTGCTTGAGGAATTGAGCGAATTTGGCACAAGTTTTCAGTTCGACAAGCAGCTCGTACTATTCAGTCGGGTCTTCATTGATTTATCAAGTAGTTTGAGTAGGATTTCGTTGAGAATGTTTTCATCATATGCAGTTCCACTTCTTCTTGCTCTGTGACGCGAATCCTTTTCCAGATTACAGCTGAATCGAATCTTCGCAGGAAGAAGGCGATGATCAGAACCAGTATAGAACGACGGATATAGCGATGTGTCAAGTAGGCACCATCTTCTATTTGTCAGAATATGATCGATCTCCGCATGAGTCATGCCGCGAGGACACTCCCATGTCCAGCGGCGCCATTCTTTCTGGGAAGACGAGTTTCCGTGGAAGAGGCGTGCTGCAGACAGGAGTTCTACGAGACAGCTTCTATTCGCATTTCTCTCTCCTAATCCAAATTTTCCGACCCTGTATCTGTTTTCGATGGCTTTTCCTATTTAGGTGTTATGTCTCCGACAATAAATTTACAACACGTTTTGTCATTGCTCATGTCTTCCTTCATCTGGTAGTAGAACGCATCTGATTCGATCACCAAGATGGAAAATAGACGGGTGAACGACAAAGCCTACGCCACTGACATTTGGCGACGGGACCTTTTCTTAACGGATGACAAGAGTCCTCCTGTCTATTTGGCGTACGTTGATCTTCCTAGTTTCTGTTCCTTGCAGTGCAATCACATGAAACTTGTTGCGATCTGTGGCTTCAAGAAGGGGCGAAGGTAGGTGTCTGTGGAGAGCGTTCAGGCATTGTACGTGCACAGTAGGAAACAAGCTTCTCCAGTGACGTCCTGCATAACCCGAGATTCTGCGGTGTCTCGCCGGTCATATGACGGCGTGAGGCCATAGACGGGAACAATCGGTGTACATGGTACTAAGGCTGGTCTATTGCTTGTTGAGCAGTTTAATCTTCCCTAGAGTTCTGCCTTAACCTTCCAAATGCATATCTAGGCCTTCATCTCTCTCAATGACCACCACAGACAGTCGCCACACTTGTGGACCAGAGGAAGATTTGCCACCATTAGGAGCGGCTAGTTAGGTCCAGGACGGTGACGGATCCTGGTGATTTACTCTTAGATGGTGTTTCTGATGGAAACACCGGACTCCTCAGTTTGGGAGACCCTGCTGTGTGGACGAGTTGGACGAGTCCCCCGCTCTACATGGCAGCCCGACACCCAGGAACACCTCCCAGACACTATGAGGCGGTAAACTGTTGGGAGGACAATTTTAATAGTCGCTATCTATATCCACATGAAGAGTTCTGTAATACTTTTGATTGTAGATTATCAGAGGCTCTTCCAGAATATCTGGCTAAATATTATTAAATGGGCAGCGGCAACGATTTTTCTCCATAGTGAGCATCGTGATTTTGTTGGTGAATTAAATGGTCGTAAGAAAATTGTGATAATAAGTTTTTTCGCTCATCTTCAAATACTTATTTGCTTATCACAGATCCATTGCCCGAATTTCCAGTGTCGATGTTTAGGCTAGTAGGGTTTTCATCTTATGCACGCCTGCGATTCTAGTCACTCATTCCGCTGAGTTGAAGTCTTTAAGAAAAATCCTGCGAATATCAGACTGCATTCTGCAAGTGCTTAGCTCGTTGATACCCCATCAGGTATGGTTTATCGCATATCTCTTCGTAATCACTTAACGATTCACCGTTTGTTAGTTAAATATACATTGACGACAACTACAGTTCCTTGACTACCTATACCAACTTGCTACCACATTCCACGGTTTTAACAGTGCGTACTATGTGAGTGGAAAAAATCGGAGCGAGTGTACAACAATAGTCATGAATCTAGGAACACCATATCGTAACACATTGGCGTCGATATGGAAAGAGTGCGACGAGATCGTTGCAAAATGGTTAGAGGTGCACTGTAATACTCACTCGCTGATTGGATTCTGTGTCCCTGGCAAAGCGAACTTAACCGTCCGTGTAGGAAAGTTGGCATCAAACTTGTCTAGAAGGTATAAAACACTAGTTTAATGCATTGGAAGGCCTTCGCATAGTCATTGTGCCCGCCAAAATACATTCACTCACCTATCCAAAATTTGGCGCATGTGGTGCAATCGTCGAGGCGCCCTGCAATACACACCTGGAATCGATCCCCGCGCCTGTGGCTCACCAAGCCTTCCGTCCTTCTGGGGTCGGCAAATTGGTACCAAACTTATCTGGGAGGACAACAGCACTGGCTCGATACATTGGTAGGCCACCGCGAATCATTGTAAAGGCCATATATGCATTCAATCACTTCCAAGAATGCTTAATGAAGTCGAATGCATGGCATATCC